CTGTCCTCACACAAACATAAGTTCCCCGCCTCTATTACCATCATACATGCATTCATATTTTGGCATCGCTTTCATCTGATACAGTCTAACCGTATTCTTTCCCTCTATTCCTTGCTTCCACACCTTCAGCCCATAGAATAGAATCGGGCTCGCCAAGCTCCCGCGTATCCACGTTAGCTGCGTTGCTACGCCGCCATCTTTGTATCACACCGGTGCCTCAGCTTACTCTCTCGTTCCTACACATTTGGACGTTTTGGTAGCAGTGGAGAAAGAAAGAACAAAGCAGAAAGGATTAGGCTGTTGTCAAAAACTCCTTCCTTCAGTGAGAGACCGATGTTTAAGAAAATTGTTCGACATTAACGCTGTTGATGCCAACGAAGTGCCGGCAAAGCCGTTGATGTGCATATTTTGCAAGCCTGCCTCCCGTTTAACACGGTGATTTAGAACTAAACTATTTGGTGTTTGGTGGTCAGCCAATACACCTTGCATGAATTCAAGGCATAAAAGACGCTTGAATCTTAAAAACAATTTGTGGATGGATGGGTACAGGCGATGGAGAAACGAAACTTCAACGAATCAAGAAAGGCGATGTACTTAGTAGAGTTATATTGGTAGTACAACTGGACAAAGACAATGATGCTGATGAATGGAACCTTCTAAGAATGGAAAATGAAATTCCTTTTCGCCTTTTTGAAGAGGAAAAGGATAGAATTTTATCAATGCTTACCAAGTAATCTGGGTTCGGACGGCTCATATTAATACCGATCACGATATTGGACGCGCTCATGTGACACCTGAGACCACAGAACTGACCAACAACACACCAATTCACCAGAAACCTCGACGTTTTGCAAAACCAATTTATATTGAAACTGAAAGGCAATGTAAAGAACTCGAAACATTTGATGTTATAGAACAAAGCGAATCATTTTGATCTTCCAACAAACCAGCCAACTGCAACAACACTATCATCGCTGCAGGATAATGGATTATGATAATGTTATCTGATCTGTAAATATTATTACGTTTTATTCTTACTTATGTAGCTTATCTAAAGACAAGTAACAGATTTTGCCCCTGGAAAATGTATAGTATCGTATATAATAAGTATTCACGGCTGGTAAACTGGTATGCGATACGTATATCAGTACGAGCCATAAACTGATACGAAATACACGGCATTCACGGCTCGTAAACTGAATAAACGCATTCCATTGTATAGTTTTCTGTTTAAATGGCCGTGAGAACGACTGGTACATCCTACAACGGTGCAGTAGCGTTCCATCTCCAAGCAAAAACTTCAAAAGAGACGATCGCTGTAGATTTAACACGTAGGCGCAAGCTAGACCCTGCTACAAATATGGCGGCCGATCCTACAATGCATCTGGCGATTCGGTGCCGTGACGTCTATTCTATTCCTTCGTGACGTTTATTCTATTCCTTGCTTCCACACCTTCAGCTCATAGTCTTTCACTCGCATATGTATTTCTCTTTTCCACTCTTTTTCATCCAAATCCATACCAATCGCACCCCGTACTGTCACGACTCATTCGTCCTTTGGCCTAGCGGGTCCATGGTGGTCGCCTGCCGAAGACCACCACTGCCCTGGATGTAATGGACCATCATGAATCCTGCCTTCCGGAACGTAGCCTTCAACACTTCAAGCCTTCCGTATCATGGCCGTGGGTCGAACCAGCCCTCGGTCGAACGGCCACTTGTCGAAGGACGATAAATTTTGGAACAGATTTATGCTATCTGAAACCTAACCTCAGATGTGGTGAACGTAAAATTACATAATTTAACGATGCCCGGAAGTCAGATTCGATCCGCGGCCTGGTGGTGCACGGCAGGTTCTATGCGAGGCCGGAGGAAGACAAAGCCGAGTGGTTCACGGCTGATTGGTGGATGTCCGGAGAGATCCAAGGCGTTCGATTCAGGGCTTATTGGTGCACAAAATTGGTGGGCACGGCTGCGCTCCCGTCCATGGCCCATGCTTCATGAGGTGCACAGCCGTAGACCAGGAAATTAACGCTCAAATCAGCCCTGGAGCCAACATAAACCATCTAAATGCTATAGATATTGACATCCTGGCACATAAGCAGCTGTAGTCAATTGACCTATCTCACCACACGAACTTTAAACCAACACTGCTTCAGCACACAAGCTGCCACTCCACATAGTTAACGGTCATTACGTTGTTCTCCAATGCTTTATAACCAGAGCTGGGCAGCGCTACTTGGAAATGTAGCGGCGCTACCGCTACCGCTACATGCTCTAAATGTAGCGGGCGCTACCGCTACCGCTATACCCACTAGATTGTAACGGGCGCTACCGCTACCGCTACAGTAAAATGTAGCGCGCTACATTAGCCGCTACAATGGCCACAGTTATTGTAAATCTCTAAATATTTATTGTTCTGCTATTGGGATTTAGTCATTAACATTTAATGATAATAAAACATTTTTAAAACATATCAATGCAACTTTATTTCTATTAACCTAACCGAACTAGTATGGGTTACCCCAGGATTAGATACAATAAATAAAAGTTACAGTTATTTATATGTTTTACCTTCCCTACATGGATGTGAACTTTAATCTACCAATCTAAGAAATTATCCACATATACATATAAAAATCAGTCTTTTTTCTGTATATATATGTGGATTATTTTTGAGATTGGTTGACTAAAGTAGACATCCATGTAGGGAAGGTGAAACATAAAAATAACTGTAAAAATAACTGTAAGCAAACTGAAAGATGAAAAAAACCTGTAAGTGGTAACTGGTAACAACTTAACAAGTAACAACTAACATGTTGACACTAGTAACAGGCTGAGGTTGACAACATTACACCGAAATCTTTCTTACAGTTTTATTCTGTAATTTATATTATGTATGTATCATGCTGGTTTTTAAATAATATTTAATACTATTAAGGGGTAAAGACGCGTGCTGGTACCTTGAATGCAAATAATTGGCAATGGGAAAGCTTGGGCTACAATATCAAGACTTTTTGGGCATATTCTTCTGTTTTCAATGAATTTTACTTTATTTGGCTCCCCTGAACAATTTAAAAATCCAAAAAACGCCATCTTAAAAAATTTTAACTCCAACAGTTTTCAAGCTACGACAATGAGAGACATACCATTTGATTTATAAAAACAATACCTAGCGACTCTAGAAGCCTTTTTCTTAATATGTGCATGGTTTAACTTATATATGGGAGGGGGAGGAAGGTGGGGGGGGGTAAAAATGTGAAAAAATGGGAAAAACGCGAAAAAAACGATGAGGAAAATAAAAAAAATCGGGGCTCTACAGTCGCTAGATATTGTTGTTACAAATCGAATGATATGTGTCTCGACATTGAAGCATTTGATTTGCAAAAGTTATAAACTTTTTTAGAGTACCCCTTATTTGCCGTTTTCTATTAATTCCACGTTTTCTTTCATTTTTTTAAATTTACATGAACAAAAAGGTCTTAGATTTCTGTTTTACATATGTGTACCAAGTTTCAAAACGATCCGTCTGTAAACAAAAAATTTTTGTTGGAGGGTAGCCGATCCCCTTAAGTAAAATCTAAAGGCTTTATCTATAAATGTAGCGGTAGCGCTGTAGCGGCAAAACCTCGTATCGCTACTTAAATATGTAGCGGGCGCTACCGCTACCGCTACATTGCCTTAAATGTAGAGCCGCTACCGCTACCGCTACTGAAAATGTAGCGGCCGCTAGTAGCGGCCGCTACATGTAGCGCGCTACTGCCCACCTCTGTTTATAACCCATACCATTACTTCTTACACCTGCTGTTATCCTAAGTGTCCGCTGATCACATTGCCTTGCCGCAAATGTGAACTGTACCAAAAGGTAATGCGTCACCTTACTTACTCCGCAAGACGTTAACCCCGCGTCACTGTTTCCCTGCCTTACTATCCTACAGTATCTTCTTCCCCCCACACTTACCCCGACTCTCCACTATTATCGCATGGCTAACTGGAGGCTTTTCTCGCAGATTTTTGATGCTTATCCGAATTAGGTTAGGTTACAACTCTTATAGATCCTCTTTTCATAGCGTAATGCAGTCAAGTGAGCAGAAACTAAGAAAAACCGTCCGGCCGTCGGTGAAAAAAGGCGGGGAGACAGGGTACGCGTGGAGGTAGAGTTATGCTGGGGGAAAACAGCTGCGACGAACGGACGGGCTGGAGTGCTGGCTGTGTATCAAAAGCCGTATGGCGTAGGGAGTTGCTTACCGAAAATCGTGAAGAGGTTAGACGGCATGGGGCAGAGATATTGGGCGGTTTTAAATACGGCGTAGAGCGATTGTATTGGTGGCTTACTTCTCATTAGCTCGCTGGTTAATTTCCATGGAGGGGATTTGTAACTTTGGCTTTTAACATATAATCCCTTAGTCCACTCTGCCCTTTAGCAGGCTTACGCACGGAAAGGAGGATGAAAGATATGCTGGTCTTGGGAAATGCTGGCCTCTGGCATGCATCCCCTTCATGCATACCACATTAACGTACAACTGCACGACATCTACGTGCACATTTGCTCACCTATATGATCCACATATACATCTCTCGTGCTCAACATTCATCGTCCATTCGTTCCAGTCTCACTTTATACCTCAAAACTTATCTCATTCGTCTTTCCTTAGAGGTACTCCATCCCATGGAGTGAAAGTACTTTTCGTAGATGCCAAACACATAGCTTGCAGAGATGAAAAATGAGGTACTGCTGAAGAAGAATGCAGTTAATATTCATACTTCAAACCAATAATTTACCTAACACGGTACGCAACAGTTGAAAAATTTACAAAAATTATATATTATGGATCACTAAAGAAAAAAGTTTTTGAGAGATTTTTTGTGCTTATGATAAAAAAAAGAATAAATCTGAATAAAAATTAGGGCGATAGCAATTATTATATATTTATCCATCATCCATGACTGCGGATATTAAAAATTACCTAACTAAGGAAGTTTTTCACGTGTTGGTCAAGTTAGTCAACTCACATCTCGCTGTGCAATGCAAGACTGCAAGTGATTGGTGACTGGCAAGATCGGCATGAATAGCAAATGGTAAGTGATTACGGTATAAACGGGTATATTGATTTCTTTTAAAAGTTTTAAGCAACTGATTTGTGATAAAATATTTATATCTGTAAATCTCCGACACATTGCATCACTATCAGAAAATATCTCCACCTTTTTTAAGGTTAATACTCTCAGTCTCAGTCTAGTGAGTCTACTCTTGTCAGTCTTGTGCGACAGTGTGTCAGTGTGAAATTCTGTTTCTGTAAATTCTGTATAAGGCTAGCCTTATAGGTAGGTAATATATTCTCACATTTATGTACCTAAGAAAATGGATGGAAAAGCCCAAGCATGTTAGCATGGAAAACATCTACCTACCTTTAGGGCTGCGACTAGAGAATTCCTGCCATTTCCAGAACTGCAAGATTTCTGCCAGATGTATTAGGTATCTCCAGAGGTGGGCAGTAGCGCGCTACATGTAGCGGCCGCTACTAGCGGCCGCTACATTTTCAGTAGCGGTAGCGGTAGCGGCTCTACATCCCACCTTCCTCCCCCTCCCATATATAAGTCAAACCATGCACATATTAAAGAAAAGGCTTCTAGAGTCGCTAGGTATTGTTTTCACAAATCGAATGGTATGTCCCTCATTGCCGTAGCTTGAAAACTGTTGGAGTTATAATTTTTTTTAAGATGGCGTTTTTTGGATTGTTAAATTGTTCAGGGGAGCCAAATAAAGTAAAATTCATTGAAAACAGAAGAATATGCCCGAAAAGTCTTGATATTGTAGCCCAAGCTTTCCCATTGCCAATTATTTGCATTCGAGGTACCAGCACGCGTCTTCAGACCTATTTATGTTCAATTTAACATGAATAATAGGCAGCTATCTCAATCAATCGTCAGCTGTGGAAAGATCGGGTTCCAAAGGCCGGATCCCTTGTGAATCAAGTCACGAAAAGTTCAAGAATCGGCAACAGGCCATGGGCCTATTTCTTCAACGCCGTCACTTCTATTCTATTCTATTCTACTCTAAACTGCGTTAGACGCGCCTTTTCAGCATGCAGCTACAAAATGAGTCAAGAAAACGGTAAAGCCAAAATTTCCGATTTTTATGGTAGCCGGTCCCCTTAATATAGTATTAAATATTATTTAAAAACCAGCATGATGCATACATAATATAAATTACAGAATAAAACTGTACGAAAGATTTCGGTGTAATGTTGTCAACCTCAGCCTGTTACTAGTGTCAACATGTTAGTTGTTACGGTACTTGTTAAGTTGTTACCAATTACCACTTACGGGTTTTTTCATCTTCCAGTTTGCTTACAGTTATTTTTACACAGTTATTTTTATGTTTCACCTTCCCTACATGGATGTCTACTTCAATCTACTAATCTCAAAAATAATCCACATATATATACAAAAAAAAGACTGATTTTTATATGTATGTGTGGATAATTTCTTAGATTGGTAGATTAAAGTTCACATCCATATAGGGAAAGTAAATCATGAAAATAACTGTAACTTCTATTTACTGTATCTAACCCTGGGGTAACTCATACTAGTTCGGTAAGGTTAATTGCAATAAAGTTGCATTGATATGTTTTAAAAAGTTTTTATTATCATTAAATGTTAATGAGTAAATCCCAATAGCAGAAAAATAAATATTTAGAGATTTCCAATAATTTTGGCCATTGTAGCTAATGCGGCTACATTGTAGCGGCTAATGTAGCGCGCTACATTTTACTGTAGCGGTAGCGGTAGCGCCCGTGTCACTTTGTGTGGCAATATTCGCCACGTGGTGAGTCGTATTGCGTCAGCGCTTCAAATTTAACTGATACGTATTGCCGACATCCACGTGTTCAAATTCCGTTTGCTGTGTGACTGTATTGGGATACAACACGGCTTTGAATTAGAACACTAACGAATATTGAACACTACTTAATTACGTTGTTAGGGGCACTCCTAACATTCAAGCTCTAAAGGTCCGGTAAGACCAATATAGTATTGGCTTTTATTTTGCGGAAAACTAGTTGAACCAACCTAACAGCAGGGAAAATCAAACACAAGACCAATCAACCATATGAACTCTAAGACAAGTTGGCACACATATTTTACAATTGAATGAGATACATGATGATGAGGGGTTAGTGTAATGCAGTGGTTCCCAAAGTGGGCGATATCGCCCCCCTAGAGGCGATGGAAAGATTTTGGGGGGCGGTAAGGAAGAAGAAGGCGTTTGGGGGGCGATAAGGGGGGCGGCAGTCCGAAGTCGAATTCATAAGTTCGAACGTTTGTTTGACGATTTGTACACAACACGTGCAGCACAGGACTCCCAGCGATGGTTTTTTACCCAGATCTGCTTTTAGTGCATTTACTCATTTATGAAAAAATGCACTATTTTGCTCGCCATGTCCGTCCGTCTGTCAGTCCGTGACTTCACGTTTTCGTCCACGAGAAAATGCGCGCTCTGTCACTCACTGCAGCGAGTACTGAGTTATATTTTTTTTATCCTCTCTTGGGTTTACGTCTCCGACAAATTAACGGCCGGACTAGCGGCCGGTCTCTCGGCCAATTTCCAAATTCAATGATAAAGGAATATCTCTCAAACTAATAAACTTAACTCGATGAAACTTGGTACACGTATTCAGTGGGACCTAACGGTAATGTAAACTTGTGAAAATTTTTTGAATTTTGCCTTGAATTGTTTTTGCCATACTTGTATGGCAATATGGGCCGAATGCACAGTGATCAAGGAATTTCTTCCAAATTACTGAACAGATTTGGACGAAATTTTGAATTTACAGTCCTAACTGCCGAACGGTGATGTTTAGCTCGTGAAAATTTTTTCGATTGTGCCGTCGTTCGCGAGTTTCATTCGTGATTTAAACAGCAATACGCGCTTAAATTCACAGTAACCAAGAAATTTCTTGCAAACTACTGAACAGAATCAAACAAAATTTAGTATTTTAATACCTAACCTCAGCATCGGTGATGTTTAGCTTGTTAAAATTTTTTGGCTTTGCCTTCGTTTGTGAGTTATACGGCTATACGTAAACGGCTCTTGGTTAAACCAGCTGGTAGAAAAGCTGATCATTTCTCCTATGGAATAGAATAGAATAGAATAGAAGTGTCAGCACTGAAGAGATAGGTCCACTGTTGCCGATTCTCGAATTTTTCGTGACTTGATTCACATGGGATCCGGACTTTGGAACCCGATCTTTCCATAACTATATCTGTATAACTTCTATATCTGTATAACTTGCGAACGAAAGCAAATAAAGAAGTGTGAAATCAAGAATGACGGTAAAATAAAAAAAATTTCAATCTAAAAAACACCATTTGGTAGTTAGAAATGTATATTCAAAATTTTGTTCAAATTTGTTGGTAGTTTGGAAGAAATTCTTTGATCACTGCGAATTTTGGCCTTTATCGCAATATAACTCACGAATGAAGGTTATATTTAAAAAGTTTTCGCCAGCTAAACGTCACCGTTAAGTTCTGATGATTCCAAGTTTTATTGATCTGCGTTTAGTTTGGGTGATATTCCTTGATAACTGAATTTGGAGATTGGTCGTGAGGCCGGCCACGAGTCCGGCCGTAAATTTGCCCGAGATGTCCTAGGTTTCTGGTGCTGAAACAGTTAAAACAGCTGAAAACACATTGGTTCACTAAAAGGGGTCCTATTTGTGAAATACACATTTGTGTTTAACCTTTACATTTTAAAATTGCAGCGAACTAAATTTTATAGTAAGAGGCACATGATTTTATATGTGTCTGTGGGGGGCGCTAGAAATTCACTAGGGAGACAAATGGGGCGACAGCCTGAAAAAGTTTGGGAACCACTGGTGTAATGGATGATACACGGGAATGAGAATGGATGAAACACAATAAATAAAGAAATTGCAAGAACCCTAACCAATTCTAAACTATCGTGGTGATCAGTAAAACGTGGTAAAAGGAACAATGACAATAAAACTTAATACTAAAAGCTCACACACGTAGAACTCTTCAAGGCAGGCTATCTTCCGAGTTAGAGGATTACAAGCTTCTGTCTTGACTTGAGCCTCCAGCATCCGGGGTGGAGCTTCAGGTTACACAAACCTTTGGAGACTGGGTCAACCAGCTCATAGCCCAACCCAGACTGGGCAACAGATCAATGGTTGCCTGTGACTCCCGAGTAACACTGGAGTACACCTTATAAGCAATGAGCACTGAGGCACTGAATATCACTGGATAGCACTGAATTACACTGGTCAGCACTGGCTGGCACTGAGTTGCACTGGATCACTGAATAATACAGGTTGTACTGTGTAGTCCTGAGTATCACTGACTAGCACTGGGCGGCTAAATAGCACTGGGTAATACAAGGTGGCACTGGGTAATACTGGGTATCACTGGGCGGTACTGAGTAACAGTGGATAGCACGGAGTAGCACTGAAGTAACACAGTCACTGGCACTAGGGTCACAGCCCTCTAATCAGTAACCTCGGAGCACTTGTCACACATCAATCCAGTAACCAGTAAAATGTGCTAGGATAACCCAAACCTGCCACAATCCAGAGAACTATCCCTATATTCCGTCACTTTGTGTGGCAATATTCGACACGTGGTGAGTCGTATTGCGTCAGCGCTTCAAATTTAACTGGTACGTATTGCCGACATCCACGTGTTTGAATTCTGTTTGCTGTGTGAGCTGTATTGGGATACAATACGGCTTTGAATTAGAACACTAATGAATATTGAACACTACTTAATTACGTTTTAATTAACAGCTATTAGGCTTTTAATTAAGCAAATTTCAATTTTTGTACAAAGCTTTGAACGATCTGTGTGTGTCCAATTCAAGTTGTGTCGGAATTAGTTTTCATGTGTCTAAATCCAACATCTCAACTTAATCATCTATTAATTTATTTACGACTTGAAATCAGCAAATACAAGTATACTTAAAGGATTCCTAATATATTCACAGACGTATTTAAAAGTCTCAAACCTCTTTCCTTTGCTATTTTTGAGGATTCATTATAATTATTCCCATATATTCTTAAGTT